TTTCCATCCTTATTACCTTTAAATTTTTACGCATTTTGGCCGTGAGTATTACTCATATTTTTATGGGCACTTAAAAAAGCAAATTTTTTTTAATTCGATTATATAGAGTATATAACTGTACTTTATTTTATGCGTTCTGAATAACTTAATTGCAATCAGGTAAGCATGAGGTAACAAGGAAGTGCTGTAATTAATTTAATTGGGTTTTCTGGGGTCTCAATAATTGTTTAAGTAGGTAAAACTTCAATCTATTTATATCGTTACTTTTGAGGGTTTTTTAACGAACATTTTGTTGAGGTGATCGGCGGGCATCGAGTGTTACGTTGGTTTCTGTGTGTTCAAATGTCAAAAAACGATCGACTGACTACATTTCTGGAATTTTTTTTGGTTTTAAAAGTGAAGGGAAAAGATGGTTGTTGGTATGTATCACATGTATAAATACAGTTTATGGTATTTGATATGACGTATTTCGATAAAGGCAGACGGTATCTAAGTTGTTAAACGGTTGCTCTCGTTCGGCTACTGCAAAGAAATTTTTTTCTTAGTGTTTAATCAATTCGTACTTTTGTACTGAGCATTGAAATCAAGGAGGTGCCTGTTTATTTGCTTGATTAGTAGCTTTTGATTTCAAAGAAGAATAAATTTCCAAAAGTTGTTAACAATGGTTGTTTAAATGGCGCTCAAAAGAAAAAGAAGCACACTTTAGTCGAGATTGATGATAACATTTGTATAATTTGAGATTTTTTTCTAGAGAATTGGCTGTGAATAAAATGGTTGCTTCCTTAGATTTTGAACAAATTGTGGATGGTGCTTGGTATGAATTGAATATTTTGATTGTAAATTATTTTTGTTTTTGCTATATTTGCTGATGAATAATGCACTTGTTGTTGTTTTTTTTTTTTTAATCTCAAAACATCATTACAAATTTTTATTTTTTGATGTATATATCGCATCTGAAATGCAGTAGAAGCATTCAAAAAAATAAATAAATTATGCCACCTGTAATTTTCAAAATTCCTTAACTGCTACGTTTCTGGTGTGTGTTGTTTTATAGATTTATCGTATTTTTTTTTTTTTCAGTAGATGATTTATTGTTTGAGGAATGACTAAATCGGCTTGTCTAAGCAACACTTTCTTCATACTTAAGGAAAAGTGGCATTTTCTTGCATTATAAACAGTTTAAAGCATTATCATAGGTATGAAATAAAAATTTAACAGGGTTAAAAAACGATTTCTAATGGATGAATAGTTTTTGTTAGGTAAAATACGGGCTTTCTTTGCAATAAGTTTTTTAGTATTTTTAATCATAAATTTTCTATTTTCATTAGTTGATTACTCTTGCATTTTTTTTTTTTATCTATTGTAGAAGATCCCTCTGTGTATTAAATATGCCTTGTTAATACGAGAAGTCTTAAGTGAAGTTGGTAAATTATGGACACCCTAGGTTGACCACAAATTTTTCACTGTCTCATATTTTCAGCGCTGGAAGCAACACCAGACTGGTGCCAAGTCGGAACAACGGCCACTGTTGAGCCGGTGGGACGCTGAACGCGTCTCTGTCAGCTCGATCGGCTTCTGGAATTTGCAAACGAATATAAAAAAATTATTCAACAGTTCCATTGCCAGGTTGAGGAATTCTAGTGGTACGCATCTATTTTCTTTTTTACTTGAATTAGATAATAATTTGTGAGAGGCTTAATAATGAATTGCTGTATTAAGTAAAAAATTGTAAACTTTCTGTAATCTTTAATTGGTAATCTCCAGGATACGTAGGGAATGAAGAAATGCGGTTTAAATAACGTTTATACTCTTCTGTTAAAATTTTTTTTATATTCTAAAATATTGTAGCTTGGTAAAACGTCACGTGTTTTGCAGACAGAGGTTGCTACGGTTCAACGAAGCCCATGAACGGTTTTGATGAGGACTTCGCGGTGTTCAGAAACAATGATGAATCTCTTCAGCTCTGGGGATATAAAGTTTCTAAATTGAAAACCGTATGTTTGATAGTTTGGCCGTAAGATTTATTCTAAAATTCTCTAACTTGTTTTCAAATCCGCAGTTGATTTGATTATTTAAAATTATCTTTAGAACTTATAAGAAGCATTCTTAAAGGAAATAGTTCAATCTATTTCTTTCTTTGTAGCTTTACCAGAATTACAACTTAATTGCTGATCTCAGGTAATGTTACAACAACAGTAGTTCTGTAAAATTTATTTTAGGCTTTTACCTGGCTTTTAACTTTATGTTCTCTTGGGATTCTTCGTTTGATCTTACACTGGTACCCCAAGCTGCTGGTGAGTTTCACTGCATCCAGATGCCCTTTCTCGACTGCAGACCACATTTTAATTCGGTAATATATTGTGGAGTTATATCCGTAACTTAATAATCAGTTTTATGATTTTATATTGTGATTTGAGTTTGTTTTCTTTGGAATTTATGGTTCAATACATTGTGTGTTGAAAGGTTTATTTAGGGATGACCATATGACCTTCACTTATGTGAAGGTGCGACATAAAACTAGTGGTACAGACGGGTTTTTGGCTATTCCTTGCGGTAATTTTTGCATGAATGACGTTGACTCACTGAGATATTTCACTTATAAGAAAGTATTATACATTTGGTGTCATCATTTAACAAGATTTCTCCCTGTCGAATCACTTGATTGTGAGGTTCGTGAAAATCATCAAACTTTGTGATTTTTTGTAAATTAATTTATTTTATTATGCTGATTTCCGCTTTAAATTTGGCAGTAACGTGCCTGAGCTATGTCTTTTTAGATAGTTTTGTCCAGATTTCATGAACTAGCTGAAACTGGACTGTCTGACAATGATGTTTCGCGACGTATTTCTATGTATGGAAAAAATTTGATTGCTGTCAATTTAAAACCTATTCTTGTTTTGCTCTTCAAAGAAGTGATCTCTCCTTTCTATATATTCCAGATTTTTAGGTTAGAATTTCACCGGTTTCGGTCATATTATAGTATTACTTTAGGGGACTTTTTATGACAAATAGCATTTTCTACTTAACCTTTTCATGCAGTGAAAATAAAGAAGTATAAAGACTGATTATGATATGGGGGATCCTTCACTTCTAATGCTGTTGTAGGAAGGATCACGGTTAAATTATCACTTTAAGGTCTTTAACAAAAATATAATGAATTTCAAAGGTATTTTACTTTTATTATTTGTTTTATCATTATAAATGGCTGCTCCTGTTCCACACATTTTTAATGTAGAGACCATACTTGCAAGCTCTTTTTTTTTTTTTCGGGAGTGTCTAGATGCACGGCTTTTAATTGTGTGACGGACAGGCGGAACATACATTTTTGCTTGGGAAGTTCAGTAGGTTGCAGGAGACTTTTTGAAGTGTAGCCAAACCATTTTTAGCGCTTTTTTTAAAGAATCTGTCGAGCTGTGCTTCAGACTTCTATAACTAAAAGTTTTTTGTGGAGTAATTTTTTTGGTATTTGGATGGTAGAATATAGGATTGCTGGATGAAGAGAAACCTATGAGTTCTATTTAAAAAGGAAGAAAGGTATCGGACAAACGAAATTGGGAGTAAACTTAAATGTGCTTAAAAATATTATTGTTCTCATTTTGAATTTGTTAGTAAAGCGTAGCAGAATTGTTAGTAATTAAAAAGCAGCTACATAAAACGCTAATGACTATTTCTTCATTAAAATTATTCGTCTTTTCACAAATCTTTCTGAGCTGATTTGTTTAGAGATTTACCTGGTCTTTAAGTTAGGGAATTTGATGAATCAATATACTATTTGCAGTGTTTCCATTTGGTACTCAGATGAATATGAAATTTATGCAAGTATAATTGTTTTGATGTCTGTACTATCTATTTCTATGGACGTTTATCAGACTAGGAAGCAGGAGAAAGATTTGAGAAGTATGGTACACTCGTCAGCTGTTGTTGAGGTGGTGCGGAACAAAGGGAAGATTCAAACTGTTGATAGTGAAGAGGTATTTTAAGATTTGAGAATAGGGCAAAAGAAGTATCACATTTTTACTTTTGCTGGAAAAGTATCTTCTGGTTTTGTCATTTTGGTGTTGTTTATCCATTTCCTTCTAATTCTTTTCTTCAATTAGATATGAAAAAGATTGTAAAAGACGGTAACCTTTAAGTTGGTTCCTGGTGACGTTATAATTATTCCTCCTCATGGTTGCACTATGCAGTGTGATGCAGTTTTGCTAAACGGAACAGTGATTGTTAATGAATCAATGCTTACTGGTGAATCGGTACCGGTGACTAAGGTAGATTATGCTTTATTTTCTTATATTTTTTTCTTTTTCTTTTGGTGCTTACATTTTTTTCTAATTTTGATATTTTTGTGTAGGTTGCTTTGCCGTGCACAGACGAGGACAGTTCTTCCTTATTTTCATTCAAGGAGCACTCTCGTCACACTTTATTTTGTGGGACGCAGGTGCTTCAGACGCGATATTATATCGGGCGAAGTGTAAAGGTTTGATCAAAATTTTGTATCAAGTTTAAAGGGCGAAGTGTGGAAACTACGATTAAGTGTATTTGGTCACTGTCTCGACGGTATTGTTTTAGGCCGTTGTTTTGAGAACTGCATTTGCAACGCTGAAGGGCCAGTTAGTTCGCTCCATTATGTATCCGAAGCCTGTTGACTTCAGATTCACGAAGGACCTTTTTAAATTTGTTGGGTTTCTTGCCTGTATTGCTGCATGTGGTTTTGTTTATACGACAGCCTTGATGATTATGAGGGGCTCTTCGTGGCGTAAATGCCTAGTTCGGTCTTTAGACATAATCACTATTGTTGTTCCTCCAGCCTTACCAGGTATTTTTATTGAAATGAAGGTCTTGATTTTTAGTAGGGAACAAATTTTTTAAGGAGGAATTAGACCTAAATCTTAAATTATTCTTGAAAGCTGTTGGAAGAACAGTTGGATAAATTTGTGCCATTAGGAAAATTGGTTTCAAACCATGTAAACTTCCGTATCTTTGACCGCTTAAAACTTTTGGTTATCTGAATGGTTGAACAAGAAATCATGCTTAACGGTACTTCACAAATTTTTATATGGCTCTTCGATTTGATCATGTCAGATGTATCGGCAATGTGGGGCTTGACCCATTCCTGAGCTTCTTCTTCTAAACTTTAGGTCTCGAATGGTCATCAGAAGAAACTAATTTACTGACAGATTATTTTTTATGTGGGTCTATTTTTCTCAAAGCTTAAACAGACGTTTTAGTATTAAACTCAAAAATTTTTTTGAAATATTTGGAGAGGCGAAAATTTTTTAGGTGTTTCAAGTTATTACTTTATGCTAAAGAGCTTTTTTATCACCACATTGACTGTTAAGTGTTCTTTTCTTACTTGACGTATACGTAAATTTATTGCTTTTTGTATTTAATTTTTGTATTATTCTTCCTGCTTTTTGTTTATTGAACCATTTAAAATAAGTGTAATTTCCATGTCATTACTATTTCTGAAGCTTTTACGAAAGTTTTAAAAAATGCATCTAAATAATTTTTTGAAATTTTAGCTGCTATGAGTGTGGGAATGATTGCGGCAAAGATCCGTTTACGGAAGAAACATATTTTTTGTATTTCGCCGTCTACTATTAATACCTGTGGTGCTATTAATACTGTAGGTTTTGGTTTTGTTTGGGGATTTTACTTTTTTATTTCCCTTCATAAAGTTTTATTTCAGGTATGTTTTGATAAAACGGGTACTTTGACAGAAGATGGGTTAGATTTTTATTGTGTACGGCCGTTGCGCCAAGAAGAAGATGGAGGTTGTCCCGGATTTGATATAGAGCTCAAGTCTTTTAGTGCCAGCGAGATGTCGCATTACGGAGAGTTTGTAAAAGCAATATCAACATGCCATAGTTTGACTAGGTACATAATTGGCTCGTTTACTTTTAAGACAGATTAGTGAGGTGCAACTTTTTCTTTCAGAATAGATGGCGAGCTTCGTGGAGATCCTTTAGACCTTGTATTGTTCAGAAATACTGGTTGGGTCTTGGACGAAACAGTTGAAAAGGGCTTGGATGAAACAGCGCGTTTTGATGTTATTCAGCCAACTGTTGTGCGTAGTGTACCTGGACATTTTGGTTTTGAGGAAGAGATTGAGCTTGGTGTGATACGGCAGTTCACATTTAGGTCTTTATCCCCATCTTCTGAGTCATACAGGTTATTTTGCGTTATGACTTTGATTATCTTTCTGGCAGTTTTCAGTTCGTCTTTACAACGAATGTCAGTCATAGTGCATAATCCGAAAGACCCGGCTAGATGCATGACACTTTATTGTAAAGGCTCTCCAGAAATGGTTGCTTCATTGTGTCGACCTGAAACAATACCTTCAAATTATTTGGTTTGTTTTTTTTTTCTTTAGTTAAGATGCTGCATTCTGTGTTCACTTCTGCTTAAAGCAATAGAGTTTTTTATTGTTTTTGCATCCTAATTTTGAAAGTTAAGAATGTTGTTACCGAATATGCTCAACACGGATATCGGCTGATCGCTGTGGCACGCAGAAAATTAGATCTTAGTTTTGTTAAAACACAGAAAGTTAGCAGAGAAGTGGTACGGTTTTTACAGATCTTTGCAGTTTTTGTTCCTCCGTGATTCTAACGTTATTTCTTGAAGAGGATAAACACCTTCTAGGTAGAATGTGAACTCGAAATGCTTGGACTGACTGTCATGGAAAACAGATTAAAGAATCAAACTATTGGAGTGATTCATCAGTTAAACAAGTAATTTTTAAAACACTGAATACTTATAATTTTAATAAATAGAAGTTGGTGTCTTGAACTTAATTTGGTCTAATGAAATGTAATATGTTAACTTGTGATATTTATTCGTAGAGCTCACATACGACCGATCATGATAACAGGCGATAACCTACTGACAGCCTTAAGTGTCGCCCGTGAGTGTGGAATTATAAAGCCAACTAAGCGTGCATATATTGTTGAAACAGCTAATGTCGACGACAAGCTGAGTGGCGCAAGGAAAATATTAGTATTGAAGCAGGCATATAATTACATCTTGTTTCTTTTTTTGTTGAAGGTATTACATTCTCTTTTCTGACTATCACTGAATGAATGATTTATAGGCTGTATCTTCTTCAAGTGAGATCGTTGATGACAGTAGCTCTACATTGGACATCGAGTCCTGTAACTTTATTGAGTCAACCTATCAGCTTGCTATCTCAGGTAGCTTTCATATGTGCTACTTTTTCACCCACTTTTTGCTGTTTGATTTAATTTTATTCTAACGTAAGGTCATCTTTTGATCATCTTTTGCACAATGCGTCACAGTCGTGCATCTCTCAGTTTTCTGTTCTATTTTGTTAAAGTGCTTTCGTTCTCAGCTTTTAACTACAGGTTCGGTTATCACCTCTATATTCTATTCTAGGTCCATCATTCAGCGTCGTATGTAACGAATACCCAGAATTGTTGGACAAATTGGTTACAGTATGCGACGTTTATGCTAGGATGTCTCCGGAGCAGAAACAGTTTTTAGTTAATAAATTACAACAAGTTGATTACACTGTTGCTATGTGTGGTGATGGAGCGAATGACTGCGCAGCTCTTAAGGTTCCTCTCAAATCCTTAGTTTACTTATATGACTAGAAGGCGCACCTCAAAAGCATAAATTTTTCCTACCTCGTCGTTAAATTTTGCTTTGCTGTATTAAAGCACGTTGCTTTTAATGTAGAAGCCTCATGTTAGTTTTGATTTAGGCGGCACACGCTGGGATATCGCTTTCCGACGCGGAGGCTTCGATTGCTGCTCCATTCACATCTAAAATTCCTGATATACGTTGCGTTTTGTTAATTATTCGAGAAGGCGAGTCTGCGTTAGATTTCTTTTTATTTGGGTCTGAAAAAGGTATTTTAGGATATTTCTTGGTTTCAAACTAACTATTTTCAGGTAGGGCGGCGCTGGTGACGTCGTTTGGTGTTTTTAAATATATGGCTGGGTATTCGTTAACTCAATTCATCACTATTTTGCAGTTATATTGGCTTGGCTCAAATCTTACGGACTTTCAGGTAGTTTTATAATTTGCAGTAATATCACCTAATAGGTTTAATAAGAATTTGTAGGGTAATTCTAAAACTGCTGTGATCTTCAGGAACAAAAAAGTGTTGATTAATTGGTTTTGTATATCATATTTTGAATCTTATAAGTTTTTAGCTGGTTTCAGTTTGACTACGATGATCACAAAAGTTTCGGTTTTATACAATTATAACACTGTGGTCTGTGTAAAAGTTTAGAATTTAAGCTGGATTACAGAAGATTTGAAAAACAGGGTTTTCAAATGTACGGTTTTTCTAAATTGTGTTGTTTCACATTTTCCGTTTATCGTTTTTTTTTCCGTCACGAAATCCTACTATTTTTAAACTTGTTGGACTCCTTGGCTTCTTTTCAACGCGCTAACAGCTTTGTTAATGCTGCGGAAGGACTTAGTAGTTGCTTTTAGAAATGGCGATGACAGTTATTAATAAATACCATAGTATGGATATTGAGTGATGGAAACGTGGTATCGAATGTTATTTAAATAATTAATCTTTTTCAGTTTCTTTACATTGATATGGCATTGGTAACTTTGGTGGCACTTTTTTTTGGCAACACACCGTCCTGTGCAAAGATTTCTATATTACCTCCTCCGACTCGCCTTCTTTCTCTGGCTTCTTCTCTCTCCGTCGTCGGGCAATTAGCCATTATAATTTTTTTCCAAGTAAACTTCAGATCTATTGTGATTTCTTCATTACGATAGGCGAGTGCATGCCAAACAAATTTACATTAACCAATCGTTTTGGGGTTTGGTGCTATTATATGGTGAGCAAGCCGGTGGTTTCAAGTATTTTAATTCTCACTATTTAGACCCGCCTTATTGATTTCCTCTTGCCTTTTCAACATTATTTTGTAAACAACTTCTGTAAAAGTTTCATATTTTAGCTGTTTCTGTTTGTATATACGGCTAACCAACCCTGGTTTTTTCCATTCACTGCTCCCTTCGAAAATATGGACGAAGACAAACGTAGTTTACAGGTTCTTTCTACTTGTTAGAAGAACGCTTCTTTACATTTGATGCTTTTACTGTGCTAGTTTTGATTTCTTTATCAGGCTTTTATTGTCAGCTGTTTCAGGGCACGGCAATATTTTCTGTTTCCATGTTCCAGTATTTGGCGCTAGCTGTGGTTTACAGCAAGGGTTTCCCCTACAGGAAGACACTGTTCAGTAATTTACCCTTGTTTGTCAGTTTAGGTAATTGCTAATAATGGTACCTTTAAATTTATTTTTTATCCTTACGTTTTTTGCTGTTTGTTATTTAGTTATATTAACACTGGTGTCAACTTGGCTTTGCTTATATCCACCTGAGGCTGCCTCTCGATTTATGGAGTTCGACCCAATCCCAGAGTTTGGATATCGTGTCTTCATTTTGATAATAGCGTTTTGTAGTGCAGTTTGTTCATATCTATATGAAACCTACTTTATCGACCATCTGATTCTTAATGCTCGCGAGAAGTGAGTTCAACCAGTACAATTTGTTCTTTCATGCAGCATACTTTGGACGGCTTATGACTTTACTTGAATGAACTTTGTTGAAACGTTTTCAGGACAGGCTGTTTGTTTGAGCTTGCATTCTTTTCAATAAATTGTGGCTTTCATCTTATTCCTAATTGTTTTGAATGTTTTAAAGAATAAAATTTATAGATGGCGGCGGAAACGTCATACTAAAATGGAATCTGCGGGAATGAGCTCGTACGAAAAGATTTTATTGGCAGTCGGAAACGATGTTTCTTGGGTGACATCCTCTACGAATTTTAGGAACAATGTTTATACACCATCACACAGCGAGTACCTATCCACGACTGTTCTTCTTTCTAATAGTGCGGAGTTGTTGCTTTTGCGTTCTACTATTAATGCTTTTTTTTTTTCTTAACTCAGGACGAGTATAAATAATCGTTAAATAATTGGAGTGAAGATGAGTTGTGAGAAGTTTCTTCCTTACTTTTAATTATAAGGATCGCTACCGTTTAAACTTTTAGGTGCAATTTCCCAGCCAAGTTTGTCAGATGGTGGATTTTCTAACGGTGATGTTTGTAAAGATACTTGCATGGACGGTGACGACGATGCTCAGTTTTAATGAGATTTAGGTATCCTGTATCTTGATAGCGTTTGTTGATTTTCTTTAACAGGCGTTTTGTTAGCCGTCTTTCATAAATTAATAGATGTTTTCTATTGTTTAATGGGTACTGTGCAATTAATTGTTCTTTCATCTCTAGGAAACTAAAGCTTTACTTTAAGTTGGTTTTTAAAAGTTTAATTTGAGTGTTTTTGTTACTGTGGTATTTTTCGCGTTTTGCGGTTAGTGGTTGTCACTAATGAGCTGCTGTTGCAGCAATTCATAAAATTTCTATATCTTGTTGACATCCTTTCTATTAACGCGATGTAGCGAAAAGGGTTTTTGTTAAAGTTGTTCTAAAATAGTTGTAAGTTTTTTGTCGGTATTCTGACAGAAGGAGTTGTGTGATGTTGTTGTAAAATGCTGCCGTGAACTCGAATTATGCTGCTTCAGAAATAGGCTCAAATTTAGCTTTACACAGGGAATTTTTGGGACCACTGAGTGCGAGGCGTCATGATCAAGGTAGGGCGCAGAGTAATGAACAGTTTTAACACTAAATTGAGTGTTAAAAAAGTATTGCAATTGAAGAAGAGCTAGTCACAGTACACCGAGTACCTTTCTAAGTCGCAGTCATTTTAATTATGCGGTTTATTCCAACTTGCAGATGGTTTTTAAGTGCTATGGCCATCAAGACAAAAAAAAACAGGAAGAAAGGAAGAAAATAGCAAAGCTAGGGCAGGTTTGTTATTTAGTGATATGGTTTTTTTAAAGGTCGGTTATCGAAGAGGAATTACGCTTCAGCTGTGGAAAGTCAAAGTTGTTTGGAGTTACTCATTTGAAGTCTACATCTTTAGCTTTCTTCAGTTCACAGACGATTTCTCGAGAAATGTGTTTTTTCCTAATGATGGTAGCGGGGTTTCTTTTGCGCTGAATTTGTTGTTTTGTTTGAGATATGATATGAGTATGCTATTGCATTACAAAGGGTGGAAGATTCCTCTGCATTCTGCAGATTTATTTAAGGTATAGGTTGGAAAAATGGAGAAAAGAACGTAAACAGTTTTGGGATCTTTGATATGAACGTAAGCAGCAAACAATTTGTGGTATTTTGATAAATAAATGATGATTATCTACACATGCAAACCGTTGTTGATTCTGATTTTTAGTAACCTGCGTTTCGCTGTTTGTCTTGGTTAGATTTTAAGAATTCTCTTTCAATTGGGGATTTGGGGCTTTCTGAACATCTGTGTGAGGAATTTGTAGCAATGTTTAATTAAATTATTAATGAATATTTGTGGCTGAGTTTGGAGCGGTGCGTTTTTTTTCTTTCAACTAATGTAGCATGTAGATTTGGTACAATATTTGTTGAAAAGAGAAGGGATGTTTAGCAAATTTTTTGTATTTTAAAATTTGTTCAAAGAAATTTACAGTAAAAAATGTATGATTTGCTTTGTTACAAATGGTAAAGTTTGTTTCATTGTAACTAAAATGCGAGAGCATTTGGATATAGTTATTCCATGAAACATTGGTGAAAAGCCTGTCAAGTGTTCATTCCTTTTTTTCACGTGTCTTTTAGTGTTTTTTTTATTTTTCATTTCTTTATGAGTATTTCTTTAAAACAAGTCTGCATTTTTATAAAAAAGATTTGAAATGTTTTGAGAGACGAATTCAAGTAGAACTTAAGATCTATATATTTTCTCCTGGTGGTTACGTCGAATCGTTAAGTTGAAAAACGAAGTTTTAATGTCGAATGTTGGGTAAACTGTCGTTTTTATTTATTTATTTTATTTATTTCCTTCTGAGAACTGCTTTTATGGAGGTTGTCGGATTCTCAGAGTAGATGCGGCTATAAACACTTGATGTTTAGTAAGCAACACTTTATATATTAAGAATTTGAATTTTTGTTAAAATGTCTTTTATAATTTATGTCACAGTTAACGAGCCAACAACTGTACTTGCTTGCAGTGAAGCTTTTGAAACAAAAATATTGTTGTACAAAAGATTTAATATATTGAGAAGAGTTCAAATTACTTGTAAAAGCTTACTTCTCTAATGTAGTGGAAATTTGATCTTATTATCTAATTGATGGAGAAAAAAAAAATATTTCTTAAAATTGAAGGGTAATAAAATTGAGCAGTGTGGTCGACCAAGCCAGAAAACTTTCTCATAGTTGCTAGAAAAAGTTTGTGATATTTACGGGACTGTTAACACAACAAAACTATGCGTAAGTTAAAGCAAAGCGTATGTTCCCTACAGTCACGCTATTTTTCAGACACATGAAGTATCTGCTCACTACTGAAGTAACCTTTGATTAATCAACAGCAAACTGATGAATAAGTTCACAACACTAAAAGAAAGCGAATGTAATTTCTCATTTCTCGATCACTTCAGACAAATTGGTTGTATTTCTCAGTCCAACTTTTTAAATTTCTGGTTGCCATTAAGCGGACGTTCTTCCAGCGACGTTTCCCCTTGCTACGTACCAATTTTTGTCAAAATTTTTTGTTTTATATTTCGGCACTGGCGGATTCATGTCTGTAAACGAACTTGAGCTTGGTAGATCTCCATTTTTCCAGCTATTACGTCTGTTCAGTGACCCGAGATTCTGTTTAATTCTTGGTCCTCTACAATGATCCAATTAAATATTGTCCTTTTTGAGTACAACAATTATATAGGACTGTTTCGTATAAGAGAAGTGTTGGAAGCTTTTAAGTAACTGCTAATTTTAAGTCACTATTGCAAAATACATTTTACGGTAGCATGACTAACAAAAAAGCAACAGCTCTTTAGTCTATCAGTAATTATCGCTTAGCAATCGTAAACGGCTAATACTTGGTAGAACACTCTGGAAAAGATACCACCTAGAGATAAAGTAAAACTTGAAGTCGCCTTTAAACACTGGCAAGCTATTCAGCCTACCAGATGTACCCTAAAATGCTGAATACTGCCGATCGTTAATGCCGTGTTCCACTCACTGCTTATCTAAATCCATCATGATCGTTTTAGATATCGTTGATAAACGTCCTTTTCTATTTTAAGAATACCACTAGTATGGCTTCTGTATGTACAGCGATTTTTTGAAATTTGATCAAATAGGTCCTCAGTGATGCTTGCATGTAACAGTGTAGTTTTTTTGTAAATTGCAGAGTAATTACACACAGTGACAGAATTTTATTATTTTTATTACAAAGGGACCAATCGCATTCTTACTGGCTAATCAAAAATTCTTCATCCCTCAATATTTCCCATTCAATTCGTACTGATAACCTGGCAACGGTTCCAATTTTTAAAAAACTTAGGTTACCAGTTCACCGTGTAAATTTTTTTCCAATTTATATTTTAGAAATAAATTCCTGAATTCCTTCTTTGACCAATTTGAATCAAAGGGAAAATCAGGAAATGCGCAGAGACCTTGACTTGGCTGCAACAAGGACGAACCACCATTACTTGGCCTCAGTGAAAAGTAAGTCCGAAAACTACAGATCCTAAGCCCTAGTCTTTCCAGATGTCTTTCAAACAGTGGCTTATTGCTTCTGAACTACAATTTCAAATGCCCCACTGTGCTTCCAGTTTAAAGGTTAACAAACATTACTTTTATCAAAGTTGCCTCTGTCTTTACAAAATAATCTGCTTCAATCTTTACCCCAAAGTTAAAACCCATCCAGACTAATTCCTTAGTATCATAAAACCTCTAAATAGATATCATGCATGACACAAGCCCTGTCAGACACCCGCTTAAAGGAGCGACCCCAGTAAGCGTTCCAGAAGTGCTGAGGTTTGAATGGCCTCCAGCGGGAATCAGGCGTTCGAGTTTTGCCACGGGTGAGAACGAAACCTGTTTTTACCAAACGTCTTGCGTCTCTGACTACAGCAAATCGCTTGTTTGCTGCCAGCTGTAATCTATACGAAACATCTCAGATACTCAACAAAATTCTCAATTCATTTTATTGCAGGCGTCCTTGAAAAGCGTCACAAACTTAGCTAAAACTTCTCACTTACGAAAAATCACTACTCAAGGGAAAGAATTCCAAAACGACGAATGACGTGACATTTCAGATGTATGCAAGCTCCGTGGTTTCGACTGCATCTAACATGAAGTGCCACAGGAACGACAGAGAACAACGGCTTATGTAAGCAAGACAACGTACAATACGGCCAACAACCAGAGTGAGAAAAAAAGTAGTAACAATATAAATAAAACTACTCCTTTCCACTGCTTTTAAACCTTAGGAGCTTCAAAATTTTTCTAGGAAACCTATACCGCAATATGAACCAACTACTCACCTACCCCGCCACAAACAGTGTTTTCTTAGATTCTAATAAAAAAGTAAAAATAAAATTTTTGGTACACACCATGCAAAAGAACAATTCGCTATATTATAATACAACTTGAAGAATTATTTTCTGAAAAATTTAATAACATTAAAAAGAAAAAATGGAAGTCACACGCCAGTTAAAACACAAACTCAGAAAGAACACTAAGAACAAAATAAAGAATTGCAATTTCAGCAATGCAATACCTCCGACATTACTAAAACAAAGTAGAACAACAAGCCAACAAAATATACTTTTCTGCATAACAACGACGGGAAAAAAAAGTTGATTTTAGAGGAACATTTTTTATACTGCTTAAACGCCGCTAAAATCCTCACCTTACAGTTTTTAAACTCTTAACTCTCAAGTTAGCAAAAATAAAAATCAGTTATAAAATAATTTTTTCTGAGATAAACTCAGGACTTGAAACCAATAACAATTAGAACTTTAATAAAATAAATAAATATAATTACTACAGCAGCAAAAAAGAACTTTTTCGAGGCAGTTTTTGCCGTATACCTATCTTGTACGAACCTTCATTGGCACATCCAAATACAAACAACGTGAGCCATTTTAAATAAAAAATGGAACACAGAATATATAAAACTTATACAAGACTTTCAAAGTTTAGAAGAACATTCCAGATACGCCACCCGAATCTTGTTGTTCTTTGACAAATATTTCGAAATACTGGTAAATAATCGTAACAGCGAGAAGGATACCCGTACCGCTACCAATCGCACCTAAAAAAACTTGATATTTTCCCGGACAATAACGGGTTTCCTAACACAGTAACATGAATTGATAAGTCATTAACTATAAACAGAAAAATTAAAGACAGATGTCAAAAACAACAGTAGCCAAATACCCATGAAATCGGCGATAACCGACAATGCTCCAATACAAAGACCGCCGAAAGCAGCTGCTGTAGGAATATAGCGATTAAGTTCGTGAATCATAGACTTCTCACGATGACCGCGCATAACCATTTGCTGTTCCCTCAACTGTTTAGCAACCTATAAATAATAACTGCATTTTGCACTGCAATAATACAGTTGAAGAATAAAACTCAGAAGGTAGAATAAGAGAATTGCTGACATCTTTTGCGCTGCTTCCGGAAACATCAATCCAAGTTTTAGAGAAGAATGCACAAGAACCCAACATGAACACGACATAGATAATACAATGCATCGGATCCTCCGCAACGTGTGCTAAAGTTTCAGGTGGTGACAGGTAATAACAAATGCCTCCAGTGGGATAACTTCTGTACCCACCCTGATCCGTCCACGTTCCCAACAAATTTACCAGAATATTTCCTCCAAATCTTGATGCCAACATCTACAACAATATGGATGAATTTCAAAATGCATTCGACAGGTAGAAGGATAAAGAGCACATAACATGTCCCTTACTTGAGAAATGACGTAAAGATTTGAAACCAGAGCAGACTGCAGAATAATGGGGATGTTAGAAGTATAGAAAAGTTTGATAGGATATGAACTATACTGACCACGATAACGAGCACTCTTGATTGGAAGGTCAACGCGGAAGCCCTAAAAAAATTAATGTATTACTAATCAGGACCTTTATAGAAAAGTTTCGGATGAGATACCTTTATTACACAAATGAAGTGATTATTTTTGCCATAAATTATCTGAAAGTAACTCCTAAGAGCAGCGAAATAATCAGGTAGATCTTACTTGGAAATAAATGACTACAGCAAAAACAAGTACAGTAGCCATTATGTTCATTAAGTTCGGAAGGTTTGGTCGATAGAATGCTTCACGTAAAGCCCGAATCTTGTCATTACGCGTTGCAAGAAGATGGAATAGTGCAATAATCGCTCCCTCAAACTCAGTACCACGGCCTGTGTTCATTGTTGCTGGTGAAAACGCCTTCCACACAATAGTTTCACAAATATTTGTCGAAATGAACAGCGATATACCTGAGCCCAAACCATATCCTTTCTTCAAAAAAAAAAAAGAACTATTTACTGCCGAAAGTCGAGAATGTTTTTTACTTTTATAATTCCGTAGAGGAAATTAGTGAAAGTAAAAGCCATAATAGTTTGAAACAGAACTAACAAAAATGGAAAATAGCTACTCACTTGTAACAACTCATCCAAAAGTAACACAATAAGACCAGCTACAACCAGCTGTATAACAATAAGCAAACATATTCCAGCACCAATTTCTTTCGGGTCACCGTATAAGCCAGTAGCCACATAGACTATAGCCTGGCCCACCGTAATTACCATCCCAAACACTTAATTTATACAGTTTAGCTTCCATAATAAAAATAAATTTTTCTTGCAGACTTTGGAAAATCAGTTTAGAGCTTCAAAATAAAGAAAAAAGCAAAACCAAATGATAAAGAAACTACTACACAAGTCTTCAAGAAACTAACATTTCTGGGCACCATTAAACAAAGCACGTTCTTTCGGAGTATCCCCTACTTCAATAATTTTTGCTCCGGCTAATAACTGCATGATAAGTCCCGACGTTACAATTGGTGAAATGCCCAGCTCCATCAAAGTACCTCTGTTAGAAGCCAATATTACCCTGAGCCAATAAAACGGATCGGCACTATCGGTTGACATGATACCTAGAATTTGCAAATTTATGCTAAAATAACATAAACTTACAATAAAATAAATGGTAATTGAAAAACAAATCTTGAACTGATTTACATCACCTAATTATGTTCAAAACAGTGAGTAACTGTATATTACCAAAAAGAGGGATTTGACAGCAGACTAAGAAAACGAATAACGTGATAGATGTCCATAGCATTTTTTCTCTAAACTGTATCTTTCTTTCCGGCTTGGAAACCTCCGGTACGAAACCACAGAATGGTTTCACAAACTCCAAAAATTTGACTGAAAACATGAGAGGTACAAAACGCCTGGTAAACGTCTGGAATTATCAGATCTGATAAAATTACAAATAAAAACAACAACTGTGGTAAAAAACGTATATTCTGATATAGGTGAAAAAGAAGAAAATCGCTTTCCAATGCAGAAGTTGTATAGATTATATCTTCAAAAAAATTTTTTTCAGACAGCAGTCAACACAGCAAAATTGGAGTTGAATCAGAAAGGCCGGATCCAACATACTAATTTCTGGATAATACAGGCAAACTAAACTTACTTCCCATTTTGTCTCAACGTCAAGGAAAACTGAGGATTATCCCCCTGAATCCGAATACAACTGCCTCACAAATACCCAACGTCCGCTTATCGTCCGGTAACAAAATTGGAGTGATAGCTCTCAGTTTGTTGCGGACACCAAAAACTGAACTAAAAACTGCTCAATTGCCTTTATGGAAATAATGCCAACAAATTACAGTAAGCCAAAAAAATGATAAGAAAAAACTTAACAATTATAAACTTTTTTTAACAATTAATTAATTTATTTGATAAATTTTAAAAGCATAATTAATGTTTAAGCATTTTAGAAAAATATTTAACCGGTTGAAAAAATTGAAATATCAACTAATTTAGACAATTATCCTGGAAAAAAAGATGTCTTTAGAAAGCAAACTGCAAAGTCTCGAAACGATTTTGGAAAACCCGGCAAATTCAAATCTGAAGAGTTTTTGCAGTTCGGTGGTGCAGTTTTGGCAAACGACAAACAGTCAATAGACCAAGGCACTGGGTGCTCCTAGACCATTGTTCAGCGCCGGTTTCAGCATAGCTGGATTTCCAGTACCGGTAATGCTCAGCTGCTTTTGTTCGGGCAAATAACTGTAATCAAAAAGGTGGTGGCCTTTCGCACAACTTACTTTGAACTGTCTGTTTTTTCGGGCCCGGTTCGTGGTAACTTCGGAAGGCCGTTGTTGGAGCAAAAAAAAAAAAATGTTGTTGTTTCAATTTAACAGTAATCATTCAGGCTTTCAGCTATTTTTGTGATTTGCATACATCTTTTAAATATGGACGGATTAAATACATAACACTGTATTTACTGTTTAGATCGAAACGATTTTTCCGGTTTGGAGCCAAAAGTAAAATTATTGTGAAATATTTGCTGGTTTATATTGCGATATAACCTAATGTTCCAAAACTCAAGTGCGATTAAAAATTTTACTTAACTAAAAAGTAAAATAGGAAATTTTTTTTGTCTAAAATTGAGTTTTGAAAGTTTGAGGAAAAGTACAACACTTAACTTCTATCTGTCTATTACTCGGCTTTTGTTCACTTAGTGAGGCGCTCCTCACGGTTGAATGTTTGTATTGTCCAACAATATTATAAGCCATAGGAAAGTTATGTTTTGCATATAATCGAAACAGCTAGAGAAGTTAGATTTTTGATCGCATATTTTACCCACATTGATGGAGATTAAAGCAGGTGTTTTAAAGTTGCATGCTCAAGGAAAAGGCTGCTGAAACATGAAAATATTCTTGAACATAAGCTTCAATTTGCTGTTGGTCTGGTATTGCCTTTGATGGTATAGGGACTTTGGCTTTTTGCTTTTTTGCATGTCTGTTATCTTGAGTGGCATTCTGGCTTAACATTTTTTGTGGACCTAACTTTACTTCTTTGTCAAAGTGATTTTTGGTACATTTGTTGGGAAAAATGGAGATTTTTTTGGCGAGGTTCATTTTGCTGGTACTGTATTTTGTTATATTAAATACCGGTGTTAAAGCCATTGTCATTTTCAAGTGTCTGTTTGCTGTAATATGAGCTATTTCCGCTTAGTAGTTTTTTTTGTTAACCAAAAAACTTGTTTATAAACATCCGTATTTTACATTTTATTTAAAGATAATATGCTTTTTTTCTGTTCGTTTAGAATTTTCACATCAGAAAATTGGACGAGCAAGACAGTTTAGAGATAATACATATAAAAATGGTAATTGAAATGGCTCTGCAAGTGGGGTGAATGATACATATGATCAGTAGCAATTTTGAGGATATGATATCTCAGTCATTACGAACTTAGTGGGCTGTCAGAATAGTTTTTTTCTTATCAGAGAGAAGTGCCGTAAACAAAAAATTTTGTAAAGCCCAGTACTTGCTAGGAAGACTCCAAAAATTACCACCGATGTGTAATTTTGTTCAAACATCGAATGCCATCTTTTCCTGAATGAGCTCATTTGCCGATATTGTCGAAACGTTGAAAAGTATACCGGAAAGATAGCAATTGTTACATTTGAATCGGCCGATAAAGACAAATGCTTCAATTTAGCTTATGCTTCTTAAGGCGGAAGTGGTGACGTAATTCTGATAAAACGTTCGGCAGACTTAGTAGACAATGGACCAAACATATGTATTTTAAATGCGTATTCCAAGAGAATCAAAAATTTTTAATTTCTAATTTATTTTACTACAGGTTTAAAGATGACCTTAGAGTTTAACTTGACGTTTCACAAGTTAGCTCCCACTTCAAAACTCGAAATAGTTTCAAAAGTGCACGCCGACTTCTAATTTTCTTCGACCAAAACTGAAAGAGATTGCACTTCTGATTGATTTGACAAGAAAAGTTTTTTAAAACGCTACTTTACTTTTTTTGCCCGGGAAGATGAAAAAAAGAAACGTATTTATACACATTTTTTCTAGCTAAGTAATTACGGGTTTGTAACGCTGACTTTTTCTTATAGAATAAATTGCTCATGAGTATCAAAACTTTTGGACATTTTTTTATTTCATTTTTTTACTGCCGTTTCAAAAAATTGTTAATTTAGTGAAGACTGCAGTAAAAAAGGAGTTTGCACGTCAACCTGTATTCTACTTGGTTTTGATTATGCTGAACTGTTCAGTTTTTGGAATCAGTTTGAAGTCGGTGTTGCAGTGTTTCTCTAGTAGTTTGGCGTTTTAGTCATTATTCACAACTGGAGTTATAATTGCAGATTCTAGTCGCAGTCTGATAGTTTATTGCAGTTTATAGAATTTAAATTTGAAAACCGCTTGCGCAATGTTTTGGATTAGGCAAACTGTGATCTGCACTTTGAAAAAATGGGTTTGTTAAACTGAGAAGATTCATTTGCCTTGTTGTTCCTCTAGTAAACTGGGTGTGTTGGTTCATTTGCGAGAACTTTATAACCGAATCTTAGTATACACTTCGTTTTATATGGTTTCAAAGAGTACTACCTTGCTGTCTCGCCCTTCGGAACTGTAATAAAACTGGAAAGTTATATAATTGGATGCTGGGAATGATACTGAGTTTCTCGATTAAACGTTACTTGCACATCAAAATTTTTTAAAATGATTTTTTTTCACAATGGGTAAGGTTTCGGACGACACAAAAATTGTCTCAGCAGTACTCCGTTTTTAGTAGAAGACGGAATCGACTTTTTTTAGAAAGAAAAAAGTTTAAGAAATGTTATTGGATCTCCAAAGCTTAGAACATGTCAGATGAAATGTAGAAACAGGAATTAGTGATTCTTTTACTACCGAAGCCCGTAGTGTTAATGAATAATGCCAGTGAAGCGAGTATTACTCTTTAAAACTGGCAGAAAATATTTAGGAACAGACCTTGATTTGAAACATTATAACTCAAGTTCAAAGAACTCAAGCCAAATAATTAAGCGATAAGCTGCATTAAAAGTCCTAAAACTGGTTTCCTTACGTTATGCGAAGCTTTCATTTTAGTGGGGGTTTATCAGAAAAGACAACTTAAGAGCACTATGATAACTTCAAACAATAATGATGGCAGATGATGATGTCTATGACTCTGTGATGACAGAATTATAGATGTCGCTGGAATTTAGTTTATATTAGAGAACACCGATTTTGACACTGAGTGCAGTTTGGCAGAAGGAAAGTGACAAGTTTTGGTGAAAAAAAAAAAAAAAAAAAAAAAAACCTGTCACTTTGCAACTCTAATGTGAGTTGCTGCGCAACAAACGAATGAAACTAATTAAATTATGGGATTGATCAAGGCCAAGCACAAAATCTTACAATAAGGTGCATAAGTTTGGTAGTTGCTTTTTGGTATATTAATGAAGGAGAGGTTAGATTGTTATGTATGCTTACAGAGTTAGTTTAATTGGTCTTTGACCACTGCTCTTTGCTAAGAAATATCGATATTAAAAGAAAACCTATTAGCTGTAAATCAGAAATTTCTGAAGTGAGAAATCTGTTACACTAGTTCTGAATTTCGTCCGTAGGCAAAAAGTGAAGTGAAAAATGAGCGTCAGGTGGGAGGTCAAGCTCAGAACTTGACTGACACTTTCATAGAGGTCCTTAAAAGCTGCTTTCAAAGTTTTGCCTACTGGAAATGAATTACTGCCTGATCTAATTTTGATAATACTTTCAGAGTGAATTATTTGAACCATCATTTACGAGCAGAAGATCAGGTTGTCGAATAAACGAAGCTGAATAGGAGCATTTACTGTCGTTTGTAGCGAATAATTACACTTTCCACTTGTAGTAAGCAATTAAGTGAGTATAATTACTTTGATGACTTGGCATATACCTTTCTGAAACGGTAAGATGTAAAGATAACGCTAGTGCCAGAACCGAATGTTGTAACTACAAAGTTTTAAATTTAATCAGTATGATTTACCGGTATTCCACTCGTCAAATTCTCATTATCAATTGCTGCGAAGTTCTATTTTGTGTATTTCATGAAACTGTTACAGTTAATAATAAAGTTTTTCTTTGTTGAAGTAAAGGCAGATAGTTTCAATCACGGCCACTTAATTCTGTCAAACAAGAAATATTTCACGGAACACTTTTGCTCGAATGTTTTAGAGTAAAACCAATTATTTTTACTGAAAGACTTTTCTTGCATAATTCTTTGTTTTCACATAAAAGTTTGGCAAAAAAAAAAACTGTATTCAGCAAATAATTTTTAAGTTTTTTACTTGTATATAGTGACTGACTTCCAAGGGTTATTCAAAAAATTCTAATGACGAAATTTATGCACAAAACGTCTCCAGATTGGAAGGAAAACAGGCAAGAGCTGGAGATTGCTACTACAAAGAATAGTCAAGCAGTCTGCAAGCGAATTCCAGTACCTATGTTTTGAACGTTGCAATCAAAGCCTAGGCAGCGAGCGGCTTAGTCTGGTATAGCAGCATTGTTAATATTGAGCTGCTTTAAAAGGTAAATTTGAAAAAATTACAGTAGTCGATCGATGATCAGGGCAACTGATTTAGCTTGTTGAATTCAGATTAGTGAATGTTGCGGGACTGCTGTCAAAGCTGTTAGATTCTTATGAGGTCTCATTTTTTGGTGCTTTGAATATTTCGTTTAATTTAGCTTATAGTTCTAGATGCCTTAGGATCAAGAAGTACCGGCCCAGTTACTTATTTTTTAGTGTTTCCTGGCTTTTACTGCAATTTTTTTATCTTTATGGTCATTAAAGTGATCTCACAAATTTTGCTACTGTTTCCTTACTGTGTTTAATTGGTCAAAGCGATTGTTAGTCTTTCTTCGTTGCTGCTCCTTTTTTTTCTGTAGGATTCTGATAACTTTCATGCAGAAGCAAGATGGGTTTAATGGCTTACGTTCTTTTTTGCTCGGTTTTGAAATCTCTCATGGTTTGAAAAAATTTTTTTTTATTTTTAGGATTTTCTGGTTCTTTGTTGAGTGTTTTACTCTCACTACCGGTTTGATGCTTTATTTTTTAGGGTATTTAGGACATCGAAGAGGTAAAGGCGCTGCAATCTCTCTAAATAATTATCCAATTTTTTAAAGTATCACACTGATGAAACGTTTAATGTTGATTTCTTGTACATCATTTCACTTCAAGTGAAACAGAAATATTCATTTCCAGGTGGGAGGATTAGCCATGTCGTTGGTTATACCAGAAAAGTTCCAGCACATTCACCGTGTCATGAACACGAACATTGATGGTAACAGGAAGGTTCCATATGCTCTTACAGCCATTAAGGTATTTGTAAATATTGTATATAACCTTCCGCAAGTATTTTCCTTTGCAATGAAAAGGAGGAGATATGGCTTTTTTTAATAGAAGCTTATTTTGTAGTTAATGCTATGTTGTATAAGTTTTTTTCTGACAATTTTAGTTTGGGCTAGAACTAGTTTACAAGTGGATTAACGAAGAACCACCTAGCTACAAAACACTTACTATTGAGACACAAGAAATCCTGGCATTAGTTATGTTAGGAACTTTGTGAGAGTCACTAGTTCCTAAAAAGACA